CAAGGGGTAACAGTTTCAAACTGAAACAGGGTAGACTTAGATATCAAGAAGAAGTTCTTCACCGTGAGGGTGGTGAGACACTGGCACAGGTTGCCCAGAGAAGCTGCAGCTGTCCCCTCCCTGGCAGTGTTGAAAGCCAGGTTGGATGGGGCTTGGAGCAACATAGTGGAAGTCTAGTGGAAGGTGTCCCTGCCCATGGCAGGGGGGTTGGAACTAAGTGCATCAAAAGAGCACAGCAGCCATGGGGCCGGGCCTAAAACAACAGCACTGCAATTACTGCCAGATGCACTGAGGGTAATGTGAAGAATTAGCTCCACATCACAGATGTGTGCACCAAGTTTGTCATGAGAGGCAAGGGAGATGTTTGCCTTCCACCGAGACAAGAGAGGACACAGCAGTAGAATAGATTCAGCCCTCTAACCAGCCATTTCACTGTAAGGCAATGACACAGAGAATTGTAATAAACTCCTGTATGCTTGGCGAGGTAAAACTCTTGAAAGCTAAATTAGAAGCAGGAAGAGAAATGAATCAGATAAATCTACTGTCATGTAACAGAAAGACTAAGAATTTGCTACAGTTTTGGCAGAACGAGAGTGCCTGGGTGGAATGAAATACTCGAGATCAGGCTGATTAAAAGGAACCAACCAGCCATTTTGGAGGATGCACAGAAACTTCTAACAAGCAAAAACATTATTTCCTCTAACGGAAAACAGCTGTTCAGCAGCAACAGTAAAGGAAAATAAATCTAATAGGAAGACAGGCCCATCTGGACTCCCAGGTCTCCTACAGATCTGCAGATGGTGTGAATTAACAGAGTTCTAGAAATACAAATGACATCAGAAGTTCAGAGTCTTTAGCCAGTTCCAGTTACAAAGAATTCTTAACATTTTAGAAGACTTTGATGTAAAGAACCACTGAAGAGAACACAATTAAACCAAGGTACTACAAAATGCTGGGCAAGCCATCTGAAAGCTTTCTGATAAGCTGCACAAAATGGTGCAAAGCTTCTTCTGAAAATTACGTACACAAAATACTGATAGAGACAGCAAACAACAGCTGCTTAAACATGAAGTCTTAAGGCAGCATAACTAAGCTGGCTGAAGAAAACTGAAATTTGTGATTTAGAATTAACCCAGTTTGAATGGCTGCATTAAACCAAACTGCAGGATATCTGAACATCAGTAAAAGTGCTTCTGTGCAAGAAGAGACAGATGATACTACCAGACCACTCTCTGAAAGCTTGTTAGAAGCATGGATCAAGATGTATAGAGGAAAGAAGAATGGATGAAAAGAGGGTATCATTAGAACAAATGAGAAATACAACAACAACATCTCAAGTTTGGTCCTGCTTAGAAGAGGATCTGGACTTTGTCAGGGCACTTCTTTAGTACATGTATCAACTGGCAGCATTTCTCAAGTCTGAGCTGCATGCTCATTCACTACCTAAATTAGTGGCAGTGCTGCCCCCACCCAAAATGTGGTTCACCGCTCACAAAAAAAAAAAAAAAGTGCTTCCAGCCCCACACCACCAGCAAATTGGTTATCTGTGTTAATATTTTAAGAGCATTTAGTGAACAATGGTCATGATGCATGTGTCGCTGGAAGAAAAAAGCCAAACAAACAACAAGACCCAAACCCATGGAATGACTACTGATCCCAGGGCCAGCGGATGAGTTTCTCGCAGGCTTGTTAAACTGAAGACGCTGATAACAGACATTCCCCACTGAAGAACAAAGAATGCACCCATGTTTTAAAAACTGCACCTATCAACCAAGTTACTACTTCCAGTGTTTAGCAAATTCTGCTCAGACTCTTGCCCTTATTTTAAGGCTGATCTAAAACTCACGCTGACTTCTGGAAAGTGGGATGCACCCCAGATTGCAAAGAGCTTGCTTCTGGCTGCGTAAATATGATGGATGGTTAGAAGCGAGAAACATAAATGTGTGTAGTCACCTCAAATTCCACCATTGCTTTCTTCATGCTCTCCACATCAAAGATCATCTTAATGAGGTCTTGGATTGGCTTAGCAAGTTTTGATTTTGTCCCAGCACCTACTGTCAGTTTCCTGACAGCTTCTTCATCCTGGGAGGCAAAAATAGTATCAGAATTAGCAAAATCACAAAGGATAAAAGTTATCAGGCTGGCTGCCATGGTAACAACTCAAAACCAATTTAGTGTAGGCATACTATGACTAGCCTGAAGTTCATGGGGAGCGTGGGACATTGCTCTGACATTTTGGAACAAAGTGGGTTTAAAAAAAAATCCACCTAGTTGGTAATTTGGCAGATGTTATTTCAAGAGGTGGCACTGTAAACCAGAAGTAGAATTAAGGGAACAGGAACTCTCTATGCATCTCTGCTTCACCTCAAGCAACAGTATTAATCACTTTTTCTGCAAGCTTTCTGTTGCATAGAGACCTTGATATGAAAAAATGACTGTTTACTTTGTGGCTTTTATGACAAAATAGAGATGTAATAACTAGTTTCACCAAGTTTTTGTAATAAAAGCTGTCATAGATAAGTACAGGAATCATCAGTTAGCCATAATACCATCTAGATGCTTTCATGGATAGAGTGTTGCACCAATAAAGCATCTGCCAGATGCTTCAGAGTATCACTGTACATCACAGTGTAACAGACACTTTGATGCTGCAATATTCAAATTTCCAGAAATAAAGCTAAGCATCGAGTACTTTGCACTGAAAGATGACAGCCGGTAATTTGGCCACAAATAAATGCAATGGCTTGAAAATATATTCTCTGGTATCTTTACAGCTATTAACAGCATTTGACTATTTAATCTGAAAATAGTTTAAAGTTACATGTATGCCTTTAAATAAACACACAAACCCCTGCCGGGCAGAAGGAAGAGAATTCTTGTTTAGCTGAGCTGCCTAAATAGCCAAATCTTACTGGCAATGAATAATTTCTTTTTCTCAGCTTGCTCAATATGCGCACTATGCAGAGTGCTGCATAGGAGTTGCTTCAGCATTTGGGAAGTCTTTAGATGCAGAAGACAGATGAGAAGTACCTATTTTAAATAAAAGAAAATGGTGCTTTCAGACAGGATGTATGTGAAATGACTGCTGAACTGAGTTCAAATTAACATCCTTAAAATTACAGAGTAAACAGGAACGAGCAGCTAAAGAGACTTCAGACTTGACAATGGAAAGCTACTTAGTTTCTCAACACATCTATTTTAATGCATGACACACATTGATCTACAGCTCTTTCCGCAGCACCAAGAAGATGCAATAGTCACACCTGCACATCATTCCTCAGGTTTGTTAAGTGTAAGTGAGCCAACAGTGAGCGCTGAACAGAACAGCTACAGCAAAGCACCTGAGCAATGCTGCACCTGGTACAGGACACTTCAGAGTTACCTGTCCATAATCTATTTCCAGGGGGTAGAATTTTTTGGGATACTTAGTGAAGCTCTTTGAATGCCAAGAATTGCCAGTCTTCTCTTCATACAAATTCAGGAAGTGTTCAACAGCATCTTCTTTGGATGGCATCTGCTCCAGCTTGTTACTCCCGATCACAGTGCCCACGCGACCCCAAGATCTGAACACCCAGTATCTAGAGAAGCGAAATGTGAGAAAAGAACAGACATCTGACTCCAGATCTCAGTCCAAATGAAAGTGACCCCGCAACAGCCATGTGACTGCATGCAAATCAGTCATTTGCATACCATTAATTTTATGGAAGACATTCTCTATCAGTGACTGCAGAAGAGCAACAGAAGAGCTACCACAGAGCATATGCCCAAGAACTGCTGTGAACAAACGCCCAGTGTCAACACACCAGATCCCCAGCCCTGAGGATAACTGCGTGCACAGCAGGAAGAGAGAGGCTAATATCTCGTCAGGCTTAATGTTTCACAAATACCAATCTTCAGACTATTGGAGTCATATATTCGAAAAATAAACACAATGCATCCTTAAGCCTCGAGTCCTAGAGATCAGATTTTTAGAGAAACCAGAAGTAACTCAAGTATTTGTTCGCATTACTGACACCACCTTGGGTGAGCTTCTGTAGTATTTACAGGGATACAATCGATCTTACCAATATGTCAGGCATGAAACGCAGGCACAGAGATCCCTTCATGTACCGAATCACAGATCCAGATACAAAACCCACGTACAAGAGCGAGCAACTTATGAAAATGGTGAAGTGCAATAAATCCAGAGCTGAACCAGGGTCACTGATGACAGCCTTTAGCTCCCCTGGATTTCTGTGTGTCCCTTACATGCTTGGGGAGGGGGAAAATTTAATTTTAAAGAACCCTCTGAATTTCTTTATCTGTACAGTAATGCAACCACTGGACAGCTCTGCCATGTGTCTAATGAGACTGGAAAGCTAAATACATGATCACCCCAACCATTTCAGTGCGTTTTTATTAAGTGTCAGGGCATGCAATTCAGGACTACTTTGTGGTAGAACAGCTAGCACCTGATTTTGTTTCCCAAGGTTACAGCTCTGCAACCAGAAGACAACAGTAAGTTGAAGAATATGGGAAAGATTCCCAATACCGCTGACTGTATGCGTGGGGTCTTGATGTCAGAACAGAGGAACCTCCACCAAATTCTGCTTCTGTATTTTCAAGGGCAGCCATCAGTCACAGAGCACTGTGGCCCTGCTGTTAGCCAGTTATCCCAGTCCTAAAGACACCAATCGTATGTGCCTCGCTTGCCCCAGGATGCAGGAATGAACACTACCAGGTGCAATTCCGTAAACGTACTCACCTCCCAACTTAGGTTTTGTCAGCACCACAAAGAACTGTCTCCACACAGAGCAGAGATCTCTCCATGGGTAATTTGTTGTTTGGTTGTTTTGTAGTTTTGGGGTTTTTTTGGTGGTTTTGGGATTTTTTTTGGGGGGTGTTTTTGTTTTGTTTTTAAATAAATATGCCTATCTGTATCTCCTCACAAAAACATTTTATTCATACTTTGCTTTTGTAGATGCCAAAACCCCAGTATGTACTGGAAAAAAAGTGAACAGAAGTATTTCTAGGGAAAACTAAACTCACCTGCTCTCTCTGTCATCCTCTAGCAGCTGCAGTTTATAATAGGAATTTGTTCCTTTCACAATATCTACTAGTCCCAGGGTTGCACTGAAAATCTTTCCACCTTTTTCAAAGACATGAGCAGAATCCTCCAAACCTACAGAGAAGAAACAAATCAGAACACGGAGGAGGTTACCATTTTAGGTCTCCTTCCTACATATGTGCTCACTCAAACATTTCATGAAGTAGTGTGACTTAACAAAAAACACTGCAAAAACAGTGACCACGTGCTCATTCAGAACTACCCAAAGCATGTTTTCTTTTCAATAAATTGTGACCATATATCTTTAGATACACTGATGTGAACATGAATCCTAACTAGAGAAAAAAAAAAAACTTAACAAAAAACACTGCAAAAACAGTGACCATGTGCTCATTCAGAACTACCCAAAGCACGTTTTCTTTTCAATAAATTGTGACCATACATCTTTAGATACATTGATGTGAACACGAATCCTAACTAGAGGAAAAAAAAAAAAAAAACCAACGAAGTAACTTTTGACAAAGGACCATTGAAAATCTAGTATTTAACACTGCGTGACTGGCTGAAGGAATTCTCAAGAGAGAAAGAGAGATACAGCTCTGCAGGTGTCACATTAGCAAATGGTCTGAAAAACCAAAGTCTGGCCTTGGATGCAGTATGAATGCTCAGAACGTCCATGTGCTACTGGTTTGGAGAGCAGCATCAGCCGTCCCCCCCAAAGAATCCAGGGGCAGATGCTCATGCCAGACCTGTGGCCTCTGCTGGCTGGACCTTGTTTCACCCCACTGACAGATGGTCCTGAAGCTGAACAAGGCACTCTTAGTTTAAGAGGTCCTTCTGGAAGTTGCACTAGAAAATCCTCTAATATCCAGCTTTGGATGTCAGTCAATATCCTTCCCTTGATGGCAAGAAAAAATGGTTTAAAAATTCGCATTCCTTTTCCGGAACCCTTATCCTTTCACAGAAACATTTTGCCAATGATCATGCATCCTGAAGACTGTGTGTGGTACAGGTGTAGTCATTGTTATCACTCACCAGAATCAGGATCTACTGCCGCTCCACCCTTAACCGTTAGCTTCATTTTCTTTTCAGACTTGCTAGGTCCTGCAGCAAAAGAAGAGTTACATTTTTCCTAGGCAGGCAGTCTAGGAATTTACTTGACTTGATTCAACATTTAAATTCTCAATTTGCATAATTAGCCCCCTAAGGAGACTTCAAATCCGATTCCCAGTATATGAGCACAATGACTTTGATGGCTTTTTTTTTTACCTGGCTTCAACAGACAATTCACAGCCCCAACACCACCGACTAAATGAAAAATAAGGTCTCCATAGATTCTATCTATCTCCTTCCTTCTGGCCTCAAGGGGTGGGCCATATAATTTTTTCACCTGCACAGCAGGTAAGAATCACATTTGTGGTTGTTTAAGTGGGATTTAAAAACCTTCTAGTCCGCGGGGGGCGTTCAAGTCCTCTGGAGATGATACTGCTGTGAGATAGCTTGGCAGTAACGGGCCCAGTTGCATGGCAGAAATACATGCTTGGAGGACACAGAGAAGAATGGGAACTGAAGATAGGCAAGCAGATCCAATGGTTTTGTTCACTGCTCTGCATTAATAACACGAGCTCTCTATGGCATTGGTGGGGAACACCACTGGCGTGGACATCTTTCCTCCATAAAACGTTACGTTCTAAACCAAGTACAACAAAGACCCATTGCTCTGGACCCCAATATTTTCTCACTTCCTAACACCCCTTGGGGGTCATGGTAGTGTCTGTCACACCTTGGTGCCCCAGCACCTCCTTGGAGCTGCAACACTGACCCAAACTGGCAGAGAAGCGGACATGTTAGGAGAAAGAGACTGGACCGATGTCAGAGAGCCTGGGCACATACAGCACAGGAGATCTCTGAAGCAAGACTGAACTAGGGGAAATAAGAGCCAGCTTCATGTTTACTCAAAGCTAGTCTTGCCCTGAGGTCTCATTATTTAAATTTATTACGAGATAAAGGGCAGAGAACTCAAGGAAAAGGGCAAGGATAGACTATACCCAGGTTTGCTATGTGCATGCACAGCATTGAACAGGCCTGCAGAGAAACAACCACTTTGTTCTTCACCTTGTTCTTCTTTGACCTTCCCAGCACTCTTCATACTTGGGGGCTTGCTGCACTTCCCATCCACGGCCATTTCCTCATGCTCCATTTTCACCTCCGCACCCCAAGGTGAAAGCGCGTGGAGAGACACAAGCTCCTGAAAGTCCTTGCTGGAGGATTTCACATCCTGAAGAAACTCCTCTGAGACCACACGGACTTTGGCCTCCTTCACTTCTTCCATCTTCTTGCTCATTTTCTCCACATCCTCTGCAGAGGCAGGGTGGGAAACGGAGAGGAAAAAAAAAAAAGCATCAGTAAGGTTTCAGACTTTAGCTCCTCCCTCTGGCCAAGATTCAGGGCTCTAACACTTTGTGGAAACACAATTCCACCACATTTTGGATTCACCACATTATTTGTAGCGCAAAATCCCCATTGGCTCAAAGCTGCAGCTTGGGCTAGAGCAGGAACACTGCTGTTTTAGCTGACTGGTCCAGCTCTCCCGTTCCCGGAGCTGGGCTGGGGCTGTACAGTCCCCTCTTGGACCTCCTGGTAGGTGGGAGCAGATTTCCTACCTCAGCAGCCAGTTTGCACCTTGACTCCAACAGGGAGCAAGAGCAGACCCTAAGTTGCCAGCAGAGAAAACAACTGCCCTCAGGCACTCACAGTCAGCTCTGTGGCTTCTCCAAGGCATGCATGGACACAGCCCCCAGCACCTGTCACCCCAACAAGGGTGGCTTGCACACCACCATGGTCTGCATACAGACCCGAGCTCAGCTGCTGCAGACCCAACAGAGCCTTACACCACACCCCGCAGGGTTAACGTGCTGGGCAAGCAAAACTCAAACAGCACACATCTGTCTTTACTTTTCCAAGCACAGTAAGGCCATGTGCGCACACAAAACACTCCCCCTAATCCAAACACTGATCCCAGACAGCTTTGAGGACGTGTGTCCTCTGTAATCTGCTCAGCTTTGTTACCAGTGCTACCAGTAATCAAGGCACGGCTGCTCACTCTGTGTGCTGATGCACAGGGTGGCCTTGTTTGCCGTTGTTGTCATCTTTCCTCCCAGGTCCTCCACAATGCTCTTCACCTCCTCCTTGTTCTTTGACAGCTTTCCAAGAACCAGGATCTTCATGTTGGTCAGTGGTTTGTCTAGGGGTTTGGAAACAACACACCACGTTAGGAACTCAGAGCCCTCTGGACAAATAACAAGCACAAAGGAACAGCATCCCCCACATTCGGTGAGATCAGCCCAGCTGGCAGGGAGACAAAGGTCCAAGCAGGTCTGACCTGCGCCAAGCAAGTGGGAAGAAGCTCCCGTTTACCTCAGAAAGGCAACAAAGCTCAGCATCCGCCAAAAAACAGAAGGGACAGAAGATGGATACGTAGACACATTATTTGCATGCCTTTTTTTTTAAATGAAAAAAATAAAATCAGTCTGCTTCAGCACTGTGCTACTAGAGCCTGTGCTCTGCTTCCCTCTTCTATTGAGAAACCAGCACAGTAGAAAATCACTGTAATATGAAAGTTCCTGCCTCTTCAAAAGGAAATCTGTTTTTGAGGGGCTGGAGAAAGAGGACTGTCTCTCAAGCAACAGTGTTCCTACATTATAGTACTTTAGAGTCTTGATCTTATAGATAGTACAAAGTTCTATCATGCAAACCCCATAACAAGTCAGGAGCAAACTGGTAACCATCTGAGGCTCCATCACCCTTTTAACACTTTGCAATGCAGGTGGGTCCAGGACACAGCAGGTGTCTAAGAGCATATCTGCACCACTAAAGATAAACACTATTAACTCTGATTGACCAACTGAGAGTTTTGTTTCCTCTTCTCCCCTCAACTCAGATTAGTCTGGTTGCTAGCAAATAAAGTAATCTGGCCCTAATTACGATCAACACTGGGGCTGAAATCAACTTGCCAATCAGAACCAAGACCTGGGTTACCTTGTCTTCATTGCTAAAATAACATGATCTGGCTAAAATTGGTTGTGCAGAATTACTCCCACGCTTTCCACCAAGTAACAATAATCACCTGCTCCCAAAACCATGGCAAGGGCTAAAAAGGCTGAGTAAGAAAGAAGTCAGAATAGCTATTAGGGAACACGCTGTATCACCAAAGCATGCAACTCATTCCAGCAGCCTACAGGGAATTTCTGGAGTCCAACCTTTTGCCAGTTTGTGGGCTGGAGACAGTGCATCTATTTTGCATAAGGAGAGTCAGTGCCTGGTAAAGCCAAATCCCAGCGGACAATTTGAAAAACAAAACAAAACTCCTGCCCTTAAAACCTGACACAACGTGGAACATGGTGGCATTATGGAGATCCCCGTATGTTTCCCAAGAAACCAAGCAAGAAGGCATTTCACAGCAGGTCTCCCTTGGGATGCACTTTGCAACACCAGCCTTTAAGTTTCTGATTCATCGCAAACACATCATTTCCTCACCATCAACAAATACCCAAAATGATTTCTGTACGAAAACAACTGGGACTCCAAGCCCATGTCCCCAGGCAACCCACCATATCAGGGTCTACCTGCCCTAGGAAGATCAAGCACACAAGACTCTGCTATGCTGTTTTTTACTAGGACAGCCCTGCCTGGCTAGGGGCAGGAGAACAGCATGCCTGTTCAGGGTAGCACGTTTGTCTGGCTAAGACCAGTGTTATACACTACCCTGAACTCTGCTGACCCATGCCCAGCCAGCTGCTCACCTCTGGGTGCGGACACGGTCTCTGTTGAAGGAGCAGACGCGGAGGGAGGCGGCACAGAGTTCGCAGTTACAGCATCTGGAGGGAATACCCTGTCTTGCTTCTTACACTTAAATTTCTTCAGGTAAGGAATTTCTCGAAACTCCTGTGGGATGAAAGCATAAGTAGAGTTTAAAAACAACAAATACTATTATAAGATTTAAAGGCTAAATTTAGCACTGGTCAGATGTTGGCATTTACTGCAGGTCTTGGAAAGGATTTCCAAGAAATCCATACTAAGGTAGGCAAATACTCACTTTACTGACTGAGAAAATGAAGCTAGAAGAGGGTAAGTGATGGATTTCAAATCAAATCAGCAACAACTCCTGCAGTTTAGTGTTACTAGAAAAAATATGATTTATTTAGCTGCCTACCCCTGGAGGGACATAGCCGTGACAGGACTTCCCCACCGTCACAGCTGCTCAGCACTGCAGCACACTCTGCTCTCTGGCATCCAACACTGCCTGCTGCTCGTTCGATCTCCTTGCAAGAGTAGCATCAGTTAAGAAATGTGCTTCAGATCATCAAATCTGCAGTGAGCACCCACCTTTGGGATTACCCAGTCTTTCCTGTTGGGAGTCTGTGTTTTAGCCACACACTTAGTCCAGGCAGTAATGTCCCCTGAACAGTAATATGCGTCACTCTTGAACACAAACTGCCCCTTACACTCCTCGCAGGGAAGCAGAGCTCCAAATGCCATCCCATCTGCTACTCGGTCCAAAATCTAAAGCAACAAAGAATACAAAACAGGTCATGGCAGAAGGAGGCTGGAAGCCCACACACTACCTTACTGAGCTGCACAAGAAAATAACTGTTAGGCTACTGGCACACAGACATAGATGCTTCCAGTGCTTGTCATGCACACACCGCATATAAACCAAGACTCTTAAGCACCGATTGATTTATGACGCCTTAAAGACACGCCATGAAGTGTCCTCAGTCACACCATACCTGCTCACACCCATGGCTCAGTGTCTCCTACGTGGATTTGGCATTCAGGAGAGCATACCTACCTACCACACAGCACCTGCCCAGGCAGCCGTGCCAGAACAGCCAAGGAGGAGACAAGCTACTGCATCTGAGCACATGAGTAGGTAGGTGGGAATGTAGGCAAAGACAAGTCCCAGTCTTCCTGCCTAGAGTATTTCTTGACCATTTTGAGTCTAGACGCTTCCCACATCCCAGCCCACACTCCTTACACAGTCTTAATAAATACAAACACTTAGTCACGTGTGGCTCCAAAAGAGAGAAGACTTTCAGAAGTTACACAGACTGAAAAGTGACAGTTTTTAGAACAGATACCAGGAAAGAATTTGTGCAGTTTTTGCTTCTTTTTGCATAATTCAACAGTTGAGGGAGGCAATGCGAACTGCCATAATTAACCCGCTCTTGAAGAGCCAGCAATAAAAAAAAAAAACCATGGACCACTTTGGGCAAGCTGAGTAAAGGCACATCACTGAGACAAAGGTGCTGAACTCAGCACCACACACCACCACACAGGCCTTCACAAGCAAGTGTAACAGCAATATCACCAGAGTCCTGGGATGAAAGGACTGGGCTTTGCACTGAATTTCCTTTCCTATGCTCCAGACTTGTGGACCTTGCAGCAATACTCGTTTGGGTCACTTTCACCTACTCAAAGACCCAGCACACATGCAAAGCAACTACAGACCAACTCACGGCATTCTCCCCTGAAGGAACTTCCTGCTTGTTGGCGATCAGCAGCTCTTTCAGGTCGTTAGTGGAGCAGACCTTCCTCAGCTCATCCTTGATGCCCCAGATCAGCTCTGTCTGCTCCTGTTGACAAAACCCAGCAGCTCAGCTACTTGCAATCAATTGCTTCTCAAGCACACTCCTGAAACTGCAGTACGTGGACAAGGTTTTAGCAGGCCCATGGTATCTTAAACGCAGACTGTGAGATGAAGAGCACCAAGAATCAGTCCAAAAGGGAGAGTCACACATTTTACCTAAAAACCTAGAACAGGTCTTTAAACCCACGTTTCAGATTGCAGTATGAATACATGAGCACATCGCGGCTTCAGCAAATACTCTCTCTTCTCACGATTACATCCAGAAGGACATCCCTATGGGATTCTGTATAAATCAAGGCTTCTCCATCATGTATATGTGAAGAAAGGCCAAGGAGCAACTGTTTCAGCACTATCCCACTCAAGAAAGTACAAGCGATACTAACAAGACAGCTAGCTTTTAGGTAGAGGGGAACCCATGTTTCTATTACACCTCTACCCATAGCAAGCTCTCAAATTATCACCTAACTAGTTGACACCAACAACAGCGAGGACGTGGCTGCATTTGAGCCTTGTATTAAAACAAAAATCAGAAAATCTGATTGGCACTTTTAAACCACCTGAGCAGAAGAGGAATTTCTATCAGATTTTTTCCACCTGCAGCAGTCCGGAGGAGCTTGCACATTCTTTTGGGCCTTTCTACAAAAGGTTAAAGGGCTGGACAGCAAAAAAGCACCCTAAAGTATCTCAGATAGTTTCTGAATGTTATTCACTGGCTACTCTAGAAGAACTGGTTAACTGCGATGGTTTAATTTTCAATTTTAATGATCATGCTTGATGAAATGCTGTTAAAAAAAAAAATTAGTGAACCCAAAGTTAACCCTGATCCACAAGCTGCCTTGATCTGTCTTAAATATCTACACTGCAGCAGCAAAACCTTGACAATGTCTCAGCTAAGTTTTGTTGAAAATTAAGGTATTGCCTCACAAAAAACAAACAAACAAACAAACAAAACCAAAAAACTTTTGTTCAAAGGCAGACACACTGTTTTTCTACAGCTCCATTAAGAGCTGAATTGCAGAAAAAGCAGTTTGTTATTTTTTTCTTCTTCGAAAGTACCTACACCAAACTTTCAATAAATACAAAAATTGCTGATGCCCTGTTGGGAATTCTTCCCACAATATTCCAGAGAGTAAAAGGTAGAAAGCTGTGATCTATCACACTTTGTACCCAAGAACTGAACACAGCTCCCCAGAGGGTGAAAAAGATATGGTTTCTTATTAATCTAGTTCCGCACTTTATCTCTGTTTACTTTTTACAATACAATTATTCATTGGTTTCCAAGCTCTTCTGCAACAGTGCTTGGGCTCAGAGCTTCAGCCACCACGACCAGATGATACAGGAAGGACCACAGAACAAGGTTCCCTGACAGAGAAGGCATTTAACCTAATCTATTTAAATCCAATAAGCACAAGTCCTAGAGAACTTCCTTCCCGTCTTTCAGGAGAAAGCGACAGGGTGAACTGCCGTCACCAAAGCCTTAGTGACAGAGCATATCCTGTGCCAGGACAGCAGGACCAGCTGTGCTGCAACTCCGCTTTGTCTGGGCACAAGGTTCAGCCCCTTCCTCTCCAGGTGCCACAGCTCTTCAGATAGTACCTGACACTGCACTCTTCTAAGAAAGCAGTTTTTATGACTCGATTAGCTAAAACTCACCTTCAGCTGTTTTTCCTGCTTTGATTCTTTCTCTTTCTCTTTTTTCTGTTTCTTTTTCACAGTCACATTTCCATCTACCTCTTCTCCTTTTCTCTTTCTAATATAGAAAAACAAAACAAAACACACACATGAGAGGAAGTTATTTAAATGCCTGTCCAGCAGCTCCCAGAGCTCAGTTTACTGACTGCTGATATCTGCAGAGGCTTGAATATCCTCAGTTTTGGCAGGCAAACCCATTTTTCAAATTCCTCAGTGCTAGATTGTAGACACGTACTTGGCTCTGCAACACCAGTTGTCTCAATCAGGTCAGGTACACTTAGAGCTTTTCCACAGAGTAACCGTATGGTCTGGCAGAAGAGCACAGGGGATACTGCAATGCTTTCAGGCACACTCATCTACACCTGCATTAGTTACACCAAAGCCAACCCCGAGAACCAGTGAATATAAGCATCCCTCTCCAAACCTGAAAGGTTAAATGCAGGTTAAAAGACTACAGTGTCTTTCAGCTGAATCAACAGCTTGATTTTTCAGCTTAGTCCATATTGAAGTAAAGGACAGCAAACACGGTAACTTTATTAAACTAAGTATTTCCTCCCTAGTTTCTTTCAGACTGGAATCAAATCAGGTCTCTGAAATTGGACAGAAGGAAGTTTCTACTTGCAAAGTGCTCCCAGGCTGACAGGGGTTTCATGATGTACCACCATGCAGTTGCGTGTGAGGAAACTTCTTGTTATTAGCTGGGGCCTTAGAGCTGTGCAAGGAGAAGTTACAGAAAACGCTGCTCGAGAGAGACTGGAAAGAAGAGGAAGCCAAATGAAAACTGGGGGATTTTGGCAGACTTCAGAATGACAGGAGAGCTCAGAGGAAGATCATTTACGTTTCTGGAGTCATGTCATCTCTTTGGTCTGCCTGGCTTCAAAATACATCAATATCAAGAAGTCAAATTGGTGTGTTCTCTCCTCATGAGGAAATAAAGGGAAATCTTGCCCCACTTAAGGCAGGATGGGCCTGCAACTTAAGGCAGAGCATGAACACAGTCGGGATCTCACACTTCATTTTGACAGAGCTGCTCTCGTTTTGCAACAGCAGCCAGGCTTCTTTTTAAGAAAGCATCTGTCTTGTCTTTATAAGCTGTGGCTGATGGCTAAGCCATAAAGTTGACATTCTCGATGGCTCTCCTACTTACAATTTTAAACACTTCACTTTCTAGTACTTTGCTACTGTTAAGACTAACCCTGTATGACAGCTTATTAGCTATAAAGCTGCAAGAGAATGTCAAAAAGTACTCTTCTCCCAAAGACTTATGCATGAGAGACCTGGAAGTTCTAGTAACTGTCCTGGCCCTAAAATTGGGCCAAGTTCTCGTTTTATTTGCAGTGGCCACCACCAGCCCGTCATTAGTACCTCTGACCAAACCATGATTCAGAGCACTCTGCAAGTCTTTAAGGGGCTGGTCGTGCAGAAAAGCTCATCTTTCAGCTGTCCCTCTGCAAGGTCCCATCAGTCCAGCTGGGGCTACACTTTAAGGCGCGCTGCCTCAGGAGGGACAACAGCTGCACTGTGCTACCAGCAACCGCTTGCATTTCTTGAGAAAACCTCCATGCTGTGTTCTACATCAAGGCAAGCAAAAACCAGCGTGGCAGGACTGGATACAGCACATACACAGCCATGCCTTCAAAAGTCCCCAGGCCAAGCAATTCCCCTCTCCTCCCTAGCGGCAGCCCCTGCAAGGGGCAAGACTAGAGCATCCACTGAGCCCCGCCACAAGGACAGTGACTTCTGTAAGTTGTAACAGTCACGGGTACACAACATAATCTGAGAAAAACATACCAGCTTGAGTACAAAGCACTTTGCTGCACCTCCCCAAGCCAGACGGCTTAATAAGGTAAGTATTTAGGATGGGTGCCCAAACGCTGTGTATCTGCAGTGCCTCTCCCTTGGGAGGCTGACAGTCAGGCTGCCTCCAGCAAGCCAGCGCTCACTCCCATGCTGTAACTTGTCTCCCAGGAAAGCCAGCACACCAACTGCTGGAAGGCGATTACCCTGCGGAAAGGCCCCCTGACACAGGGAAAGCATCCAAATTCCAGCAGGGACTCACAATTTTTTGGCAGCTTCTCCTCAGAGTCAAGGGGACAGCGGGTTGCTCTCCTGGACAGAGTGATTACTGTACCTGTTCTGGCCACTTGAACAAAACACAGAGCAGGAGGGATCATCTCAATTGCAGAGGCATAAAGCTGTCAGTCACCATCTTCTCTTTTGTCCCTGGCTATGCCCACAGCTTAAAGCAAACACTAATCATCATTTTATACAGCCTGGAGAAGGGAATGGCAAAGCCAAATTCATCTTGTGTCTTCCCAGAACAGCAAATTTTAGAACAATCAACAAAATACACGCTCACTGACACACACATTAATTTTATCTTCCATCCTTGGGACCAACCACTGTGTGTTGCTAACAGCAGCCGGGTGCTACTCTGTACACCCTTTCTCCCACTGGGGAAGGGACAGCCTTCCCACATTCAAGCCCAACAGCTTTTTTAGAAGGATTGTTACCTACCAGCCAACACAAACCACTTCTTCTCACCTTCATGGAGGATACACAACTACAAAATTTATTCCAACTTTTGGGAAGATGAAGAGGGAGGTGAACTGTCCCACCCTAGCCTGGCCCTTCCTTACCATCCACTCTATTTTTCATGCTCCCCTCCCTATAATGAAAACGAAAGGTGGAAAGGACAGTCACAGCAACCCTGGATAAAGCAAGCAGCTGGTGCAGGGAGGAACAAGAACTCCACTTTTCACCTCCTCCCTGTAAAACACCACCAGACTGTTGCTGACCTAAGTACTTATCTTCTGCCTCAGGCAATCTCTGCAGTTAATCTGGTGCTTCCTGATATCTCCAGAATGACACTTTGCTCCTGTCCTGGGCAGCAATTCCACCCAAACAAGTGAGGCAGAAAATACGGGAAAGTATTACAGCTTGGAGCAGTAGGGCGAAATGCATGCTACCGAAGCAGCACAGTCAACGGGAGCTCACAAGCTGCTACCGCACTTTCTTACACTGGTACACAAGCACTGTCTCCACAGAAAAGCTGCTGGCAAGGACACAAGAGCCTCCTTCCCCAGGCCTGAAAAATGCTGGTGCTCAGGCATGACAGCCCATAGCCCAGGTGAATGTCAGCATGTCTCACCCAGAGATGACCGAGGAAAGGAGCCAGGATCCTTGCAGGAAACCTTCCCATTTTTGCCTTTTGGGGGAAGGGATTTTCCAACCTATTCTTGGTAGCCCTCACTTCTCTCATCTGCAATAGGCACGCCACACTGCTGTCCTTAATGATGGGGCTGACAGGGCAGCCCCAAAGTCTGAGCCTCTCCACAGAGCATGGGCTAGACATGCAGAAGCAGCACGTGAATTTGGATACGTCACACCTAAACTGCAGAGACATCCAAGTCAAGATATAATTTGGATGCAGTACAATCAGAAACATCTTTAAAGATGTTACAGCACACACTGTAACATCGTTTCTGCAAGATGCTGTAACTTCCGTCGTTAATTTCTGTTATCTGATTGAATGCACAAGGTGAATTATCAGACGTAACTGCAGCTCATTCAAGCTTCTGGGGTGTTTTTCTTTTGGCTTCTCCAGAACTGCTTTCTTGGCAGAAAACCACCAGGCAGGAAGCACACCACACCTCTCCACTCATTCTGTTTATTTACACTCCCAATTCATTCAGTTTGACAGACAACCATTTTTCCCATTGACCCTTAACACCCTCGGCTCAAGCACACAGCCCAAACAGAAGAAAGGTAGTGGAGCGCAAGAGCCAGCCAGCACCTTCATGGTTGAGGGCCTTGTTCATGCAGTGCTTAGAAAGCAGGAAAGACGAGACGTCCTGCTGCTTTTCTGGCGCGAGGTCCTGGTTCACATTACCCTACATCACCAGTCTAAGCTTTTTTCAACTGCAATTCTAGGCTTTTATTTACACAGTGACTTGGCAAACTACTCCGCGGCCTATCTTTACAAAGCCTTCATATTTTGCATAGCATCCCAGAAGTGGCCCAGAAAAGCAGAGTCAGGGCAGACAAGAAAAACACTTACACAGTCAGATCTCTAGAGCTTTGCTGAAGACACGGGAGAAAACTACAAATAACCCGATTAAACTCACACACTGTTCTAGGACAAAGCAGAACACACACCTCTGCACAAAAAGCAAAGGACTACATGAAAAGATGCAAGTGCATTAAAACCCTTCTACCTACATCCTGCAGCACACGCAGAGGTAAAATGCCCGTGTGAAAGATGGCAGGCTGCCGGGCAGATACAGACAGCTTGTCTCAGCCTTCAATGGTTCAGCCAAGTGAGGTGAACAGCAGAGAACCTGACGGGGCTCTGGCGGAGAGGATGCTCCTGCGGCACTGCAGGACCCTCCCCACAGCCCCCGTACCATTGCTGAGCACTTCTGGAGCAACTGCTTGCCAACCAAGAATAAACCACGGAAGTCGCAGCCCCTTAACAACAGACAGAGCAGTTTATGCACGCTCCACTCTCTTACCTACGGCCGAGGATGACATTCACAGACATGCAAGGCTCTGAACAGTACACCATGCCCATCAGCCACATATCTGGAGGGCCAATACTGACAAAGACTGCACAGATTTGACATAGCTACGGTTTCTCAGAACCCAACATCAGTCTCACTGGACAGTTTAACGGTGAATCCCTGACAAAAGTAAAGTTGAATTCAGTCTACAAAGCACTCAGAGAAGCCCATTGTTTTACAACAACAAGATCCTTCCTATTTGTAGCACCCAGAAACACCTTATGTTCCTTCCTGCGCGGGAACAATGCAACACTGGCTTGTGTTATGAAGCGTGACTCCAGGCGAAGTCACTTCAAAAAATAAGTAACAAAAGCCTTCATTAACAGAGAAAGATTGACCAAAGCTAGCAAATCACCTGGAAGTGCTTCTCTGTCAGTACGAGTTCTGTCAAGAGCCTCCACTAAAAACTTCAATGCAAGGCAATGAAATTTCAGATGTACCATAAAAGATTCAGCAAACAAAAGCATCCAAGTGTAAGCACTACACAGCCAATAAATACCATTATCAGATTCAGTGCCTGCCACAGATCAGCAGCTCATAGATAAGAGATGTCAAATCAATTCTCTAACAAGTGGTTAGAGCAAAGAAACCATCACTGATAACAGCATCACACAAGGAGGCACAGAGCCCAGTACCCATTTGTATTAGGCACACATTATTTTATGGTCGAAAGCTCTACATCAGTCCTCCGAGTCACAGCTGCTGGTCTCTGCATTTTCTCAAGGCAGGCACAGGGGACAAGTGGACTGCACGCTCCCAGGGACAGAGAATTTGTCTGTTGTCATCTGCCTAAGGTCACAGGAAGGATCAAATCCTCCTGCGACCGATATTCTTTTAACAGAGACAACAATGTCACAAAAGATTTACCATGGAATTATTTGAAGGCAAGCAACGGCTCCTCTAGACAACGCAATTTCTTACACTGCCCACATACCCTTCACTCTTGGTAGCTGGGAGCTGCTTCTTCAGAGTTTCTTTATCTTCAGCCTTGAGGATACTGAAGCCCAGGAGCTGGGCGGCCCCGTATGCCGGAAGGAAGCCCAGCTCGGCTCGGCGGCTCACAAAGCAGTCCGGATGGTACCAGTTATCTATCATTCCCAGCTGCGGCTTTTCAGGATGCACCATCTTCTTGGAAATCCGGATCTGGCCCTGAGGTGGATTAAAGCGACATAAGAACAATCGTTAGGCCACTCTGGGAAGAGCAGGACGTGAACAAGTTACCAACATGATGCTTCCTAAACACCTGTAAAATACCAACACTTCCCCTATCAAAGGCGGCAACTTTTGTTGAAGCCCTTTCACTACGGTTCCTCTGCTTTCAATACTCTTTCTAGGCTGAAAAAACCACAGATCTTTAGGTAGTTTTCTGTTAAAAAAACCACTCAAAATGGGTAATCCTGTAGTCTTTACTCCAACTTCCAATAAGCTCGAACAAGCAAAACTCACATAACCAAACCCCACAAAGGCAACTCTAAAAATGAACTTTATGTTCGTACCACTCAAGCATCAGGGCTAATGTGATCTCACCCCATCTGACCGTGAATTACTTTTCAGATGCCCAACAAGTAGTTGTTTTAGGTGCTTTTAGACTGCAATATTTCATGCTCCAACAAGGACCTGTCTACACAACAGTCACCAATGTTTCCGCAGATACAAGCAGATCAGCACTGGTGTTTGGCCCTTGCCAACTTCACCCAGCTGGCAGGTCTGTTCACATCTATCAGAAGGTCACAACTTCATTTTGCCAACTGTCTTTAAAAGCAGAGCACCAAGACATGTTCAACTACAGGGCTGCATCGTTAATTAGCTGCATCACTGGTTTTGTCTGCCTTCATGCAGTTAATCCGGATACACTGCGCACAGAGACGGCCTGGCTAAGGAGGAGGAAGAGGTCAACACCTTTGCAGCGCTGCAACAAGCAGGAAAAGCTGCAACTAGCGGTGGCACTCTTGCTACAGAAATGCTGGCGAGCGGTGCTCCAGCCTGCTCTAAGACCCAAGCGAAAGGAAGCATCAGCAGGTTTGAGCTCAGGCTACAACGCCCGAGGGGATGCCTTTACTGTCAGCTGTCCAAGATACAGCTGCTCCTCAGACACAGAAATGCAGCTCTTCGAGTGCTTTCCATATGCAGGACAGACAGGAAGCAATTACAAAAGTCACTGTTTGAACTGGAACCGGTGGGAGAAAAGACAAGAGATGAAGAATTAAGAAAAGCTTTTTACCTTTTCTATCTTCTGTTCACAGCCTTTGCAAGTACTTCTGTTAGACTTGGCATATTCTGCAGCAAAGTCATTTAGGCTCTTCTCAGCCCTGCCACCTCCTTCCTGCTCCCCTCCTTTTCCTGGAGAACAAAGCAAATACAGAGTTCGGCTTTAAAAAACATTCTCTCATTTTCTTATTCTCTGTCCCAGATTGCTAGCAGTCTGGATTAATAAACCTCTGTGTTCCAGCAACTCAGCTGTCAAGAATTTGAATACAGAGCATGACAAGCAGCCCATGCTCAAAAGGACTTTTAAAATAGAAAGAGTTCTTTAAACAGCCAAGTAGCAGTTGTACAGGATGGTTATTTAACGATTTTAAAATACTTTCAAAGGTGCACATAGCTGACCCTTTTTAATTCTTTCCTGAAAGTAGTGTAAAACGAGATCTTAGCGAAGAACTGACTGTAACAGGAGTCACAAGCAGCTCTGCTTCAAAGCACAACTTCTCTTCCCAACTGCCAGTTTACTTTTATTTTTTGTAGGACTACATTTCAACAAGCAGACATCAATCTAAAACCGCCCAGCATCCTTAGTTTACACAGAGATGCAGTGAGTTTAGTCTGGTCTGTACTTAAACCTTTCTCACTCGCTCCCTGACTCACTAGTTCATGATGTAACAATTTCAAAGAGCCACCACAACCATACACTGCAGCGAAGGTACCACTAAAACAACATACTACAACAGCATTTGTTAATATTAAAGAACTGAAAACAAAATACACTAATCATGATAACAAGAAATATTTGGCAATACATCTGCCAACTGACTTGGCTTCTTCCCTTGTTGATTTAACATGCCGGATCATACTGCCAGCATTCTAGCCCTGGAGTGCGGACGTGCCACAACAATTCTTCTGACATCACTTGCTGAAGGGACACAGCAACCAGATAACCACAATAATAGCTTGAGAAGAGGGAACACGGCTCCAGCTGAACTTCCAAACACCAGGAGACCTCTGCTTACCTCCTCCAGGGCCTCCAGTCTCAATGGCTTTCTTGATTTTCTCCTGATCTTCCCACCTGAGCTCAGGGAAACCGTCAATGTCTGCATGGGAAACAATTCGAGCCCGCTTCCAGAAGCAACTGTAGTGGTGCCAATGAGGGACTTTGCCATCAAACATGGGCGACTAGGAAGAAAGCATATTAGGCCAAAATAAAGCAACTCAAGACAGAATCAAGGGGAAAAAAAAAAACCCAACCAAAAACCACAAGATAAAAGGGAGTATCTGTGTAAACACAAGTGATTTTTTTTTTAAAAATAAATTAAGAGATGGATACTATTTAGGACAAAGTCTAAGAAGAAAATCTAGTATGACAGACAAGCTGCTGGAGAGAGGTCCCAAAGGGGACAGACGCGGAAGGCGCATTTACCTAGCTTAACCAGTTCATCACCCTGCTGCTTAGCCCATCTGTTTTACTCAAAACAAACAGGTCATAGCCTCAGCGTGGCTATACCAATCCTGAGCAGACAAGGAGAGGTTTCTTCTCCATGCGAATCAGACTATCTGCAGGCATGAGCAAAGCAAAGCAGGGGTTGTGGAAAAAAGTAACAGGAGTGACAGCACATGTCTCACCTGCTACAACCTCCTTCGAGACTGCTGCAGCACAAGAGGCTGCTGGCCTCACTCTGCAGGACCTCCGAGCGCAACGCACAATCCCTTTGAGAGCCACTTCTCAAGCAAACTGTCCCTGGAAAGCGCACTGCCAGGAGGAGCAGCTCCAAGGACTGTGGCCTAAAGAAATTCCCGAGGGGGCTGCAGGAGGCAGAGGCAAAATTTTAGGGAAACACCAGAGCCCGATGAAGTCCTGCATCAGGATAGAAGCATCACCCAAGTCCTCCCTGAAGTGCAGCTGCAGAGTGCCCTGCCTCACACCAGCCTCGTCGTGCAAGTGCTCCGCTGGCTTATGACTCAGACACATTAAGTACCAACCTGGCACCGTTCCGGTTACCCATCAGACAAAATAACCATGGAGTGGTTTGGCTCCAAGTAATGCACAGAAACAACTGCTGTACTAATAATACTCAGCATTGTATAATTATTATTACCAATGATACAGAATTAACAACCTAGCAAAGCGTTCTACCTGTCACTCACTAACAGCAGGAAGATCTCCAAGCTGAAAACAACAGCAGAGTTTCGTGCATGAGTGGGAAGGAGGAGGAAAGGGCTTTGAAGACCACTGTGCAGGACTAGGAGAGCTGGGAATCCCAATTATAAAAACCTCCAACTGAAACTGCAGGAGGACATTTATATTTCCAGCTGGACTCTTCCCACAAGTCAGGATTCAGATCACCCAGCTACCCTCACAGCACCACGGCCACACAGCAGCCACCCTGGGGGTTGCTCTCAATGTGTCTGGAAGTCACACACAGCTCTGGCACTGGAAGGTGGTTGGTCACCCCTGAGCTCCGGGCTCATGTGTGGAGTTTTCCTGGAAGACTCCTCATGGGTCTGTCCCTAACACAAATTAGGGGCAAATGGGACTGAGGGTGCATGGAAGAAGACAGAGCTGGCTCAATCTTTAAGACAACCATGCAAGCAGTAAGTAGATCTCTGCTACATGGAGCTGTGCACCTGGGGCACGGACTTCTCTCTGTGTGAGAAATGAAACCTCCAAGAGAGCTAGACCTTGTTTACACAATTTCTCTCAGCTTACCTATCTCTAGACCATAGTTTCCTAAACAAATTATGGAAAAAATGAGACTGATTCACATCGCACATGCCAACAACAGAAACTGCTCAGTTCCAGCTGGAAGCAAAAGTTGAAGCCATGCTGGTCCTGCAGGGCCTGAGTGCCCACCCTTTGCCAAACACCGAGCATCCCATTGTCATTCAGAGCTCTTCCCTTGAAGAGCCAAAACAAAACAGTGGTTCTAGTAGAACCGGCACCCAGCTAACAACTTGGTCTGGGCCTCCCTTTAATTTCTTCTGCACAATTTGCAAAAGGCCTGGGCGCACTGGAGGCAGTGCAGAGGCTGCTCTGCAGGGGATTTCCCCCCAAGAGGAAACAAGGGGCCCGGGGTGCTCTGGTGAAATTGGGGCCCTTGCAGGGGGGATGCTCAGCAGCAGAGCATGAGAAGTGCTCTGCTGGCACAAAAAACTGGCAGTGGGGAGAGGGAGCCCTTTGCAGAAGAGATCAAGTAAATCCAAGGGGTTGTGGGGAAAAAAATTAAATATGTACAGGTGGTTTGGTGTTAAGACCAGCAGTTTTAGGAAGATGGTTGGCTAAAAGGCAGTGGCTGTGTGAGGGACGCCATGGTCCCAGCTGTCCCCCTCCACCTGCCCCCAGGAGATGGCTCAATAAACCGAACCCCACAAAACCAAGTGCGCTCCCTGACCTACGGCACGCTGCGGTGCCACAGCCCCGGTGCTGAGGACGGCCGACCTGCCTCGCATCAGCTCCAACTGCTGGGGAAGGCAGGAAGGGGTACCACATGCGAGGGGAGCGGAGAAGCAGCAGCCGGAGCCGGGGAGGAGGAGCAGGAGGGGAGCAGCCACCTCCAGCCGGCGACGGAGGGCAGGAGGAGAAACAAAAGAGCCCGGGCAGCGGGAACACGTGCGAGCGAACGCTGCAGCTCGGCTCTGCACAGTTAAGACAGCCTTCCCCGGGGAGGGAGCCTCTGGGGAACAAAAGCAGAGGCAGGTATTTCCCCTCTGGGGATCCAGCTCC